AGTCAGTATATACATGCATATACACACAGTGTGTGTGTGTACGTGTATGTCAGAGATATATAAGGTGGACAAACACCGCAAACATAAAATAAACAGGATTTCAGATTTAAAAAATTTTAAATAACTAAATCACAAAATACAAATATAGTTGCAAAACTACATTGTGTTTCCGGGTTTTTTTTGTGTCCACCCTCTTATGCTATGTAAAAGCATGCTAAAGTACAATAGAGTGGTATAGCTATCACTTGGTTTATTTCACTAATTGTCATACTTCATATTGACTCACAGAGGCTAGCCATTTTTATGTAGTGTAAAGTGTAGTAGTGTAGTGCTTTTTGGTACAATTAAAATTCTGCTGCTTCAATTTTTGAACATTAAAGCCCCCTTTACACCTGTCTGATATGTGGTGGTGCATTACCATGTGCACATTTACACTTGTTTTTTGTACTCTTACAATCCCCTTGGAAAGTGTATATACAGTGGGGCAAAAAAGTATTTAGTCAGCCACCAATTGTGCAAGTTCTCCCACTTAAAAGATGAGAGAGGCCTGTAATTAGCATCATAGGTAGACCTCAACTATGAGAGACAAAATGAGAAAACAAATCACATTGGCTGATTTGGAACAAATTTATTTGCAAATTATGGTGGAAAATAAGCATTTGGTCAATATCAAAAGGTCATCTCAATACTTTGTTATATATAATGAAATGTGTAAAGACAGCTGTATCACGTGCTTCTTATTCTTGGTGGATGGGCATAAGCTTAGAGCCACCTGGAGCAGTTTGTTTCATGTTTATCTTAATGCAGCAAAATGAGATACAACAAGGCATAGGTGTGAAGCAAGCCTAAAGATGTTGTTTTCTGTTAAAAAGATACCACATCCCCTAACTCCCCAAAAAGGGTCTATTTGTTGAGGTAGAATTCTGCCACAGCCTATTTTCAACTAAAGGCATTATTCCCATATCTTCCCACTGGACATCACCCAAAAGTGAATGAGCCACTAAACATGCCAAGCCCCAATAGGGAAACACTAGTCATGAATGATAGTCTGAGAAAACAATGATACTCAAGAGTTTTTAGACATACTTACTCAAATAATCCATTTTCTGACATGAGAGATCCATCCACTGAATCAAGTCCTTGTTCTGAAAATTGTTTCAAGGCACTTAAAGCTGCCTGTAGAGGAAAATAAACATGTTAAATAGTATTTTAAAAGATTTACATTTCTAATATATACATGATTGTTGAAACAAACCTTTGTTATGTTTGCACCAAACGCTGGTCACCAATACATTTGCATACAATAAGCATTCGCAGTAATGCCAGCAGCATATGTTTCATAGAGTACAGTGAAAGAGACAAATAAAGGCCAGTATGTGCCGCAATTAAATTGAATACAAGTATCATCAGGGGAACCGGTTACCATCATATTAATCAACTAGGAAAAGAATATGTTAAAAAACAAAAAAAAGGTTTGGTAGCAAACACAGATTTAAACATACACATTTTATTTATTTATTTTATTAAAATAGCCCAGCAACATATAAAATATACTGAAAACCAGACATGTGATGCCACTTCTCTATACTATTTACATCAGACAGAAGAATTTATTTACATGCATATGTAAAAATAAATCCCAGCAGAACTACACATTGCCTTTTAAATGCACATTATATATCATATTGAGCTACTTCCTATAAAGGTAGATTGAATTACTGGCTTACAATTAATACACCAGAAGCTTTGAACTGCTGATATGTGGACAATGCATTTTGTTTGGGATATGCTGGGGGCAAATAAGGTAACGCAAAGCTAAAATGAAGTGCCCAAACCCAGGGGAGTCATTAAGACTATGCTGGAGAGTCAAACCAATGATTATGGACTGAAACAAAATGGAGCATGGTGCCAAATGCACAAACGGTGTCAAAAACACTGAAGGGGGAATGCTTTTTAATTATGTTTGATACCCCCTCGAACAGTGTTTGAAAAGTTGTCTCCTGCTGATGAGAACAGTTCAGCCTTGACACGTAAAGAGAAACAAAATTCATCTGACATTTCCCGGAGCAGCAGAAAGGTTAATAAGAGATTGGCAAATGTTGGGAAAGCAAGCACCCTCCAGTTAATTAAAACACATGGCTTCTCGTCCATTATTTACACAAATACATAAAGAGATACTTTACTCTCGAAACATTTTACAACACTATTGTGGGTTTATTCCCCGAGGTTTTGAAACAGATGTTTTTACAAATGTTATGTATGACTTTTGTAGATGGTTTAGCAGTGCCAAAAAGCAGATGCCAGCAGGACACTGCTTTCTTTTTGGCTAAGTTTTACTTCATAAATATTCAGACGGATCAGCAGGAGGTAAATCTCTCTAGTAAAGATTTCAATTTATATCTCTCTGTATCAGTCAACATTTAGTACTAAATATTATCAACATTGTCTAACCTCATCCTTTGTATTTAGTTTGTTGAACTGAGCTGAAGTGCCAGTCTTGGCTAAGCCTTCCATCATAAGCATAGGATACATTACATGAAAGATAAGAGGTACATGTTTACTTCATTCATTTATGTCACAATTTCTTGAAATATACTCAAAAGTCTGGAGTTTGTGTTTCAGTGTGTGCTTTGTGTATACAGTATACTGTATTGTTACTATATCCCTATGATTAGTAAAAATACAAAAAGGCACTCTGCTGATAGTATGGCAAAATAAATAATTGATAACAAAAAAGGTAAGTTTTCATTAATACAAGCTTACTCATAAATTAACAAAATAAATGGGATTTTGGTTCACTTTGGTCCACCTCTCCATAATCGTAAAGTGTATGCCTGGGCAGAAATTTAAACCCAGAAGCGCTCTGCCCTGAACACTTCTGTGTTCAAAGCTGACAGCGGGCTGCGTCTGGGAAAACCGATCAAATACTTTACTTGATCTGTTTGGGCGAAATACAGAAGGAGGGCTTGTCATCTGTATAATTCTATCACAGAGGGGTTCCCTAGCGATAACAATACTCCCTAAGCCCTCTTATGATAACAATACTGTCAAGTAAAAAATAAAAGTATAAAAAAAAACCTAATACAAAATGCAAAAACTAATTTTAGAACCCCGCGCCCCCCCCTCCGCCCCATACGTAAAAAAAGGCGCACCTAGGATGCACGAAAATGCAGATCATTAATTATTAATACGCACATCAGAATAAGAGGAATTATTTTAGAGCCATCATTTGCAGGGAACGGTAATCTGATGAGCTTCAGAGGTGTTTAAATCATAACATGCTATCGTAGTTTGTCACCAATTCGCCGTTGAACGCAGTTTTGAGACCCAACACATTTCGTATCGATTTACATTTCACAAAATGGACATTAGGGTTTGCACTAACATTTTGTGTGTGTATTTTTTGAACAGGAAAATAAGAAAAAGTGTAGCCTGTCCTTTTTGTATGATTTTGGGACAGTCAGGCGCAGGTGACTGTATATTTGAACCAGTACACCCTGCGTCAATAAGAACCAAAATGGTATCTTTTAGCTAAGAAGTTACTGAATCTTCATAGGCCCAAAATCATACAAAAAGGACAAGCTACACTCATCATCCTCAGCTTAGAGTGCAGATACATCTGCAGGTATAGCAGAGACAGACTCTGGAGAAGGCATAGAAATATGCTTTTAGCCCCTGCTCGGTCAGCAAATTATGCCAGGGATTTTTTGCATAAAATCAGACATAGCCACAGAAAAATTCTGCCTGGATAATGCAAAGGAGGGAGCCATGGTGGATAAAGCCAAGGAAGATGTGTAGACTTAAGTAGGGGAGAACAGGTCCAGGCTATCAGTTTCCGGTCCTTTAAAGGGGACACCGCAAACCATCCCAGAGCCGTTAGTAAATCATGAGCTGGGAAGGCCCACAGGACTGTGCACTTATGAGCCACTTACTGCAAGTGTGGTATAGTGTGACATAAACCCAATATATGGTACGTTCACACTAACTTCCTAGGACAGGATAGCTAGACCCTGCTGTACAGTGGTGCAGTAATAGCTATTAAGTTGTGTGAGACACATTGGTGGGATGCAGTAACAAATTCAGGGTGCGTGCAATACAATTTAGTGATGCAGTGGAGTGTCCGCAACATTTTAAAAAATGTCTTAGCGCTAAGATCTCAAGCATGAACTCTAGAGAGGGAACAGCAAGAGAATAGAATTACACACCAGGTCTCCAAAAAGGGGCAAAGCCCCCGAAACATACTGAAAGAGCAGTAAACAGACACAGTAGTTAACACTGGACAGTGCCAATGCAAGGGCCAGCTGTTCAGTTGAGACACTTCTTGCCCCTCAGGTAGGCATACTCACAGAGTAGTCAACAAGGACGAGATGCCATCCAGTGGATGTATCACGGTCCTGGACCTGTAAAATGTTGTGCAACACAGTAGACACAGTAGTTTTCTGGAGAGCGTCACAAGCAGGACGCTGTGCCCACGAGCCACATTACAGGCCAGCCCTGCACCTTCATCATAGCAAGTTCCGAGTATTGTCTGCAAGGCAGTGCAGAGAATCAACTGATTCATAAAACTGCAAAATGTGCTCTCGTGGCTCTGCAGCTAACAATCTTGATTGCAGGAAAAAAAAATGCCTTGATAAAGTAAAATGGATTTGCTAGTCTCTGAGGATATAAGATGTCAATTCTCCTAAGGACACTAGCAAAAAACTGAAATATGATGGGAGTGGGAGGCGTTATATCCTGGCTGACTAACCAGTTTTATTTCCCAGTGTCCAATTCTCCTATATGCAGCAAAATAACCTATAGGTCTCAGAATCCTTCTCAACCGGTGTCCCTTAATGAACAGATTAAGAAAAAGGTTTGATACTGTTGTGCAAATATGTTTTGGTGGTTATAAGTAAAGTAACAAAAGTGAAATATGCTCGAAGTACATGATCCTGTTCCAACTATCTGAGCTTAAAAACAAAGTGACTGTTTTACTGAAGTTTTAAGCAGTGTTTGCTGTGCCCAATTTTGCCCAAATTTCAGGGTGGATAACAATGCTTGGGATTTCAGTGCAGCAGAGGCAGTGTTGTCAGCTCAAAACAGAAAGTTAGAGCTTGTTCACACCAAATGCAGACCAGATCTGCATGAGTTTCTGCACATTCAGTGCAGTGTGTTTAGCTGCGTTCCAGGCGGTTTTTGTAGGGGGGAAAATGGGCTTTCAGTGCGTTTGCATGCGTTTTTGATGTGTTCTGGTGCGTTCCAGAGCAGAAAAAATAAGGCATGCTGCAGTTTTTCCATATGCTCTGGAACTGAACGCTCTTGTGTGAACTAGAGCCCAAAATACCATTGGAATACATTTGATGCAGTTTTGATCCGTTCTGTAACTGCTCTGCATCTGCTCCGTGCTTGGTGTGAACTAGCCCTTAGGGGCTCGCTGGACTTTTGGAACGACCAACAGGGCTGCTATAACTCAACACACTTTAACATATGTGCATTTACGCACCGCAACTGAAGGTTTAAGTGTGAATGGGTCCTAAAGTGTTTGCTATAACAGATATGGTGCAAAAAACATACTGATGAGAGATACATTTGATAGAGCTGAATGTTACTTTGTTATGTGCTGTGAAGCGGTTTCTGAGCTATATCCTCCTTTGTCTTTGGATGCACCGCTGGCCACTTCATCATCAAGGAAAGATTTTAAAAATGAGAAACCCTTTAATGGTTAGTTCACACCATAAGCAGTGCGTTCCGGTCCAACTCTAGCCGGAACGCACTGCCTCGCATTGTGGCCGGCTCACTTTTTTGCCGGGCTGGAGGGGGCGTGGCGAGCCATTGAAGTGAATGTCACCGTAGCCACGCCCTCCGGCTGCAATGCGAACGCAAGGCACATTTTGCCTGCAGTGCGGTGTGATCAAAATAGTGCTTGCAGCAGTTTGATCGCACCACACCGGACGGCACAATGTGCCTTGTGATCACATTGCGCCCGGAGGCCGGCAAAAAAGTGAGCGGGCCGCAATGCGAGGCAGTGCGTTCCGTCCAGAATCGGACCGGAATGCACTGCTTATGGTGTGATCTAACCCTAAGGGCAGGTTCACATCATTTTCCGAACCAGATCTGGAACGCAGTGCATTGTGTTTTGACGTGTGTTTGCAGCGTTTGGAATATTTTTTCTTTTAGCTTAAAATGGTCTTACGGTG